GGGGGCGGGGGCGGAGTCTCGTCTGCCCGTGGCAGCCCGGCCACCCCTCCGCTGCGGCGTGTGGGCCTCGGAGCACTTGGTTTAAAGGTGGACTCCTGGCTCTCAGCCCTGCGGTGAGGACAGATGTCTTTGGATAATTGAGAAACCTATTCTAGGAGACCAAGGGGAGCTCTGCAACCCATCTGTCTTCAGCAATCTCTGCTACTCACTCACCCAAGAGGCTGAGGAAAATGTGCTTTCCAGAGGAAGTGAGATTTAGAAGCCTCCCCTACAGGGAGATGCTGCTCTGACCCTGGGTCTCTGGTCTGCAGAGCCCTTTGACCAGTGATGGCCCTGGGATGGAAGAGCAGTCACCCGCCACTGCCACCCCCCCACCCTCAGCCTACCCTACGGGAAAGACATTTACAACGATTAATTGCTCTTTTATTCCTCTAGACATCAAAGCACTGAAATACCAAGGATCCCTGGGGAAACTTCTACCCAAGTCCCCACATTCCTTCAAAAAGAGATGAAAAGAGACAACCTTCTCCCACTTCTGAGGGGCTTTAATTTTCCAACTATCACAACAGACAATTAGCCTCCTACTGTCTACAGGGCTCGGACTGTCCAAGAAGCAGAGAGGAACCTTGGCTTCATGACTTGAAGGAGAGGGCGCCTATGGGATGTGGTGGCTCCTGATGGGACCATCTGGGGACTCACACCAGCTGTTCCATTTGCCACCCAATGATCAGGTCAATGTTCCCAATATACAAAGGAGGAAACCGAGGACCAAAGCTCCCGGGGCCCCAGAGCCGGTGGAGACAGTGAGCACGCTCCCGGAGCTGGTCTCTGTTTCCCGTTCTACTCTGTCGATGGTCAGCTGTGCAACCTGAGGTCAGTCATTGCCCTCTGAGCCCTCCAGTTTGCCATTGGTCAGAAGGAAATCAGGACCTCTACCGTGTCCTCCCTCGGAGGACGCAAGGAGGTGAGGGCTGGCTTCACGAGCATGAGGCCTGGGCACCAGCACAGGTCCGAGCACTCATAAGGGCCCTACTCTTGGTTTAATGCTCTCCTGTTGCCGTCTTACAATTCTGAATAACTTTTTTAACAAGGGGTCCTGCATCGGGTGCCACAAACTATCTAGCCAGTCCAGAATGAGGGAAAGGATGTCAAGCACTCTAAACTGCCAAGGGGCCTGTAACCTTAAGTACGCATGACGTGGGCTCAGGAAAGATTTACTAAAATAAAACCTCTCTAGGTGAACACAGCCCTGTGTCAGGCTCAGGGAGCAGGAGATACAAAGGTGGGGCTGTGACAATAAGCCTGCCTTCCAGGAGCTTCCAGAATGGCTGAGGAAACCACACTGCACAAGGCAAATGGAAAACAACACAAATAATATGTAACAATGAGCCAGAAAGACAGGTCAGCTTGAAAACACAAACACCTCCAAGACTGCCAACTGCATGTAACGTGCCAGGCCCAGCACCTCCCCCTGACCAGCTTAGAGGTGAGAGGAAAAAACCCAGGGCCTCGACCCAGTGTAGTTAAGTGGCAGAGTAAGGGGATGTGCAAAGCCCTGTGACAACACAGAGGAAGGGGAGGGACCAGCTCCTAGCAGAAGACCCTGAAACTGGGTCTTGAAGGATGACTAGTAGTAGTTTGCTGGTAGAGAAGATGGGGAAGGGCGTTGCAGGCAGAGGGAACAGACATTCTTTGAACAAACAATTACTGAGCATATGCCAGGCCCTGTGCTGGGCATTGAGGATACACAGGCGAGCATGCTTGTGATAATGACTCCCAGTGAGCAGGGTAGACAAGCATGAATCAAGTCACACCCTGGTAAACAGAGCCTCAGATGGTGATAAATGATGGGGGTCAGGGGTCGGGGGTGGTAAGTGCAAGGTGCTCTAGGACACGCAGCTGGGAATCTGACCTCGCCCTGGGGGCAGGCACCCTTGGAGGTGACTTCTGAGCTGTTACCCAGGTCAGGAGGAGCTGTGTTGGAACACACACACACACACACACACACACACACACACACACACACGTGTAAAGGTCCTCAAACAGGAAGAGGCTGGGCCTTTGGGAAAACTGGAGGAAGAAGGTGTGGCTGAGGCCAGGGAGGCAGGTGAGGGGCTCAAGGTACTGGACCACATGGGTCTCGGGTGGGTGAGGAGAGGTTCAAGCGGGAGAGTCGGGTAAAGCCTGAGACCCCTGTGGCTGTGGCGTGAGGGCTGAGGCGCGAGGAGAGATGGGGAGAAGCTGGAGGGGAGGTCCCTGCTGGGCCAGGTGAGGGCCGGGCTTGGGCTACGGGGTGACGGAGAAGGGACGGTGAGGGTGGGAGGGCTTGGGACACTTCGGCAGGTGGAACTGCGGGACAGGAGCAGTGTCGGAGCCTGGACTGCACTGCGGCTGCGGGAGGGGGTGTGGGTGTGATGTGCCAGCTGCCGGTCTGCTGGTGACGGCCCTGAGGACAGGCCAACAGCTGGGGCTGGGCTCCCAGGGCCACGGAGAAGCCCCTGGGTGGAAACAGAGCAGGCTCGTCCTTCAGATGAAGTCGGTACCACTGTGCACATCCACAAATCGTTCTGGAGATGTAGTCAGAACGTGGTGACTGACCAGATCCGGGAAACGTCTGGGGCTCTTCTAGGAGACGCTGCGCTAGATGGGGTGGGGGGCTGGGGGGGCACTTGGGGAAGAAGGAACGACATGGGTGACAGCAAAGAACTGACATCCTGGCATGTCACGTACCAGCCGTGTGGCCTTGGGGAACGCATTCATCCATGCAATCAACAGACGTTCTGAGCACTTACTGGGACTGGGATACAGCAGTGCAAAAACAGGCAAAAGTCCCTATGTACATTCTAGGGAGAAGGGAGAACAGACAAAATGAAATAAACAAGAAGTAATCAGTATAGATTAGAATAACCTAGTAAGGAGGAAGGAGATAGGTACTCTGATAAAAAACCGAGCTGGCTGAGAGGAAAAGGAGGTGTCAGTGGTCAGGTGAACAGGTGAGCCAGGGGAAGCCCGGGGGAGCTGGACTGGGGCCCTGGGCACAGTGGGAGGGACACCAGCGAGGGGAGGAGGGGGAGGGGAGCGGATCAAAGGAAGGATAAGGGTGGGGGTGGTGAGGAACACAACCTTCTTCCATGTTCCACGTGCTGCCCGGAATGCTTGGTTTCTCAACCTCAGCACTAGTGACATTCTGGACTGGATACTTCTCTGCTGCGGTGACTGTGCCACCCATGGGAGGTTATTTAGCAGCATCCCTGGGCTCTACCAGCCAAAAGCACCTCCCCCTTGGTTGTGACAACCAAGCATGTCTCCAGACTTTGCCACATGCTCCCTGTGGGGTAAAATCCCCCCGAGGTGAGAACACTGCTTTAAAGAAACAGCTGACATATATTCTGGCTTGCTGTTGGCCGGGCGCTGTTCTGAACCCTCCACGTATATGAATGATTCAGTCTTTGCAACAAGCATCCCTATAAGGTTTTACAAATGAGGGCACTAGTCTATGCTCACCCAGCTAGCCCGTCCTAGTCCGTTCTGGGGCAGGATTCGAACCCAGAACGTCCAGGCTCCCCCCCATGCTACACTGCTCTCCAGTAAACAAGTAAGTGGACAGAAACGCACTCAGCAGAGGGAGGCAGCCCTGAGCCTCATCTGCAGCCCGGGCTGCGAGTCCCACTTGGGGTGGCACCTCAGGTCCCCCAGCGACATCAAAGCTGGGGCACCAGAGAAGACTTCCACAAGCTCCGCTCTCAGTAATTAAACTGCAACCTCCCGGACTCTAAGGCCTCGTGAGCAACAACCTTAATAAATTCCACATTTCGGCCTCCTCCACCCAGAGCCAGGCTCGGCGTTCTTGAACCGCACTCCACCAGCAGGAGCAAAACAGGTGTAATGACAGCTCTGCTGCTCAGGCAGTTTGCAGGACGCAGCACCATTCTTAGGTGATGAGCTTGGGATAAGGAATTTGTCCTGAGGTCACCAACCCAAATTCCAGCCTGCCCCAAAGCTCCTTCCTGCTCTGTGAAGCCAGGTGAAGTTGCAGAACAACAGTGATAATTACTGTGGTTGCTAGAGCATTCCTAAGGGCCAGGCACAATGTCAGGCCTGTTCAGCACATGGGGTCCTCATGACAAGCCTGCAAGGCAGGAATTATTCCCATTTTATAGATGAGACAACCAAGGCTCAGAGAAGGTAAGTAACCT